AATGACCCGCCAACATGTTACCATGCCAGTAAAAAGCACCGCAACTCCGCTGTAAGGCTCGGCCACAAGAGACCAGAAAGAGGGACCATTCCTAAATTCCCTCTTCGCCAGATGAATATCAGCAAGACTGCTGAGCCTGGTCTCTTGCAAAAATAAAACATCAGCACAAATACTACTGAGCAAAAATAAGGCCGTACTGCTAGCACCTACATATTTTATGCTGGCAACATTAATGGTTGCCACCTTTATAGGAGTGGGAACTGCCATCAAGGTAATTGAGATGGTCGTTTCTTAACCTTAGTTTTCCTCAGCTTGGCTGAGGAATTAACCTTCTTGCGAGACTCAACTACTTCCTCCTCTTCCATGGGAGAAGGGGTCCTACCGGACTCCCCATCCTCCCCCAAGAGGATCCCAAACTTATTTGTGGTGAACTCTTCCCCCTCCTCAAAGGAGGAAATAGAGGAAGCAGGGGATAACACCACCTTACCCTTTCCTTTCCCCACTACGACCACCCAGCCCCTTTACCTCCCTCACCTGATCCACCATCCCCAAGATCAAGAGCTGACCGCTCTCCCTTCCCTATAACCCCCTCAGGAATCATCACAACCCCCGCAGGGTCCTTGTGACAAGATGGGAGGAGCACCAGAGGTGGTACCACAGAAGGCGCCTTGGGCCCCTTCTTGGCCCCCGCACCCCAGTTCCTCCGAGGAGGGGGGACAGGAACATTAGGAGTGGGGGTAGACAACACAGAAGGAGGTACCTGGGGAGACACCAAGACAGGGGGAGACTTCACAAGAGGGGCAGGTACAGATACATTAAGGGTCACGGTACATGCCACTGGTGCATCTGGGGCTCCCGAAACAGTAGAATCCCCAGGAGGAGGGGAAGATGACTCCTCACCCCTTTCCTCAGCCTCCATCCTATCAAGTTCCTCCATCAGGCCAGGCAAATTATGGAGGGCCTCTGGACATTTGTTGTATGAATGTCCTAGTTGCAGGCATAAATTGCAACAAATTTGGTTGCACTCACGGGCAGTGTGCCCAATCCCCTGACAAAGCGAACACTTCATGACTTCACATGTGGCCGCAAAATGCCCTTTATTCCCAAATTTATGGCAGACCTTGGGTTGCCCAGCGTAAACTACTACTAATCGGTCTTTTCCTAGGAAATCCAATGTGGGTAGGTGTTTGATTTGATTTCCCACCACATGCAGCCTTACTGAGGCTGTCCATCCACCTGTCCAGATCCCTCTATCATCCACAATTTTTTTAAGGGGGGCCAACACATCCCCAAATCTATTTAACCACACTGTGATGTCAGCAGGAGGAATGGATTCATTCCTGATCAGTATAGTGACACTTTTAACCAGCGCTTGCCGAGAGACCAGTTTTGGGACTAGCCCCTCCCACCTGGGGGTCCCCTTACACTCCCCTTCATACCTTATCCAGAAGGTATCTAACCCCTCAGCTCTCTGGAACGAAATGTCATACTCCCCTGTCCCTATGGGAGCAATAAAGGCAAAAATATTGGATGCCTTATATCCCATCTCCAGACTCTGTCCACCACCTCTCTTCTAATGGGGGGGCTCCTACCCTCCCACCTCAGCTGTACAACATTCCTTCTGTGCTTGGCTCCCTGATCCCCCACTCTGTAATTCAGGCTGAGCCACAGTATTCTTTCCCCCTCTCAAAGCAGCCGAATAGCTAAGGGCTTTACCTGCGGGGGGGGGGGGGGGGGGGGGGGAGGGGGCAGACTCACCCTCCTCACAGGGTCTGATACACATACATTTTCCACAGCATTTCCAGTAACCATAGTATTTCCAGTAACCATAACATTATCAGCAAACATAGCATTCTTAGTGACCACAGCATTCCCAGTGACCACCACACTTCCAATAGCCACAGCACTATTAATTACCGGATCACCGGCTTTTTTACTTACAGTCCCGGACTGCTGATCTCCCCCCGGCTCTGCCGCCACTTCCTTCAGCAGAAAGCTGGGGATCCGTTCCAGCTTGACAAAGACAGACCTCTCCTTCATTCTCTGCATTGCCGGCTTGGAAACAATGCCCACCTCCTCCTCCTCGGACTCCTCTGAGGTAAATGCAAATTTTCTCCAGCGGAGAGGAGACTCCAACTCGGAGATAAACTGCAAACCATCAGCGCTGCTACCAGAAGCCGTTTCAGCCTCCCACTCCGGCTGCTGCTGTTGCCTCAGATGCTGAGCAGGGATGGATCCTCGTTCCTCGGTCTCCCCGGTCTGCATGCTCCCTCTGGCTTGCTCTATGACACGGCCCTCTGCAGTCACCGGTGCGCCGGCCGGCTGATTGTCTGGCTCCGACTGCTCCCCAGAGGAAAGCTCCTCTCCAGGCTGTCCTCTCGCGGCGGTCACAGAGCGTTCCCATGCCTGTCTGAAGTGCTCCTCATTAGTGTATTTCTCCTTGAGGTCTCCACTGGCTTGCTTCAGGGATGTAATTAAGGCACTCTGCCATCTCCATGTCATCCAGGTCTGGCCTCATGAGCTGTCTTTTGGTGCTCCAGACACGCTCATAGCTGGATCTCTTTTTCTTTACCTCCAAATGCATTTTCACCAGCCTCTCTTCCTCCTTCCTTATCCTGGCCACATGAGCCGTCACACGCCCTCTATAGGCAGCGTATGACTCACCCTGTTTAGGGGCATTTCCCAGGTCCTCTACTTCCATGGGACCGGTACTCAGTTCCCCAGAGGAGGGCCCCCCACCCGGCTCATGGCCAGGCTCGGCCATGGTTTGCTGGGCCAAAGTCCAAAATTTAGCTCCAGGCCCAAATGAGGCCTCCAAGAGTACCAGAGCTCTCACACACCTTGCAGTCAGGCTCAAAGTGTCCCACTCTAATCAGCTAATTAAGCCATAACACCTGTAAAGGGTTCCTGAGCCTTTAAATGGTCTCTCAGTCTGGTTCAGTAGGAATCACAAGCATGGGAAAGACTGCTAACCTGACAGTTGTGCAGAAAACCATCATTGACACCCCCCATAAGGAGGGAAAGCCTCAAAAGGTAATTGCAAAAGAAGTTGGATGTTCCCAAAGTGCTGTATCAAAGCACATTAATAGAAAGCTATGTGGAAGGGAAAAGCGTGGAAGAAAAAGGTGCAAAAGCAGCAAAGGATGACCGCAGCCTGGAGAGAATTGTCAGGAAAAGGCCATTCAAAAGTGTTGGGGACTATCACAAGGAGTGGACTGAGGCTGGAGTCAGTGAATCAAGAGCCACCACACACAGACGGATCCTGGACATGGGCTTCAAATGTCGTATTCCTCTTGTCAAACCGCTCCTGAACAATAAACAACGTCAGAAGCGTCTTACCTGGGCTAAAGAAAAACAGACCTTGTCTGTTACTCAGTGGTCCAAAGTCCTCTTTTCTGATGAGAGCAACATTTGCATCTCATTTGGAAACCAAGGACCCAGAGTATGGAGGAAGAATGGAGAGGCACACACTGCAAGATGCTTGAAGTCCAGTGTGAAGTTTGCACAGTCTGTTTTGATTTGGGGAGCCATGTCAACTGCTGGTGTTGGTCCACTGTGCTTCATTAAGTCCAGGGTCAACGCAGCCGTCTACCAGGAGATTTTGGAGCACTTCATGCTTCCTTCCGCAGACTAGCTTTATGGGGATGCTGACTTAATTTTCCAGCAGGACTTGGCACCTGCCCACACTGCCAAAAGTACCAAAACCTGGTTCAATGACTGTGGGATTACTGTGCTTGATTGTATGTGCCATTGTACCCCTTTCTCCGCACCCCCTCCAACACAATGGTGATATATCTACTTGTTGTCTGTAAGCTATGTTTGGTGTAATATACCATCTAGAAAAACACTTATAGTTTATCTCTACTGTGCTCATATTTGTCACCTCCCTTTGAAAAAGTGTTTGAACACGAAACGCGTTAGAAAGGTGCCCCCCACTATTGTGTACACTCCACATGGCCATATATGGACGGCCGGTGGCCATCTTTGATTTTTAATGTAAGTGTTATTCTTTTTGTATGTCTGAATTTCTTATAATAAACAATACTGCACTATTGGAGGCTTTTTCTGGGGCTCGTTTTGTCTGGGAGCCCCACTTTTGATGGTGATTCCTGATTCCTGCTGACCTGACACATGGTACTGTACATGATCCCCCTGGTGGCTGTCATCGGCAACTCTGGAGGCTGGAAACCTTATCCGGATGTATGACACCTGGTGGTTGCTGCGTGGATGACCTCTACTGTCTGCAATATTCCAGATCCAGAGAACCAGGAGTAGGTCTTATATACTCCATGTGCAAGCATTTTCGCCATTTGGTTAGTGCAATCTATATCCATTTCTACTAACACAGTAGTCACGGATATTCAGTTTAGCTTTATTGACTTTATCACGGAAGTCACGGATTTTTCATATTGCTAGTGATTTTATGTTACATGTTATGGTTGACATCTCACTATTTTGTGTTCAGCACCATTTTGGATAGATCTATCTTGATTATACTATTACTTGTCAGGTTTATGAGCGCTGCATAGTTGTCACTGTACCTATTGTCACCTCATGTGTTAACTTAAAAACTTTATTCCATTGCTGTACACTCAGTTCTGTTCCAATCTCTTTTTCCCATTTTTTTCAAGAACCCCGGAGGATAAGTTCCTTCTGTTGCCATTAGGATCTTATAAATCCTAGAGGTAGCATGTTTTGGACTTATATTTTTGTTTAAACGTTTTTCAAATGGATACATATCCTCTGACGTCCCCAATGGTTGAGGGAGACTTGAAACAAAGTGTTTTAATTATATTTCCATCCTTTTTGACTATGCATTCTATCCCACACACTTAAAAATTTCCTTGTCAGTGAACTAATATTAACATTAGAGATGAGCGAATTATTCAAAAATTCGATTCGACTGATTCGGCGAATTCGTGAAAAAATTTTGATTCGAGTCGAATATATTTGCTGCGAATTTAACTTATAAAAGGGTGTTTCTAGGCTTCAGAGAGCCTTTATATTAGTGCAGAACACTGTACCTTTAATTTAAATGCCCTTGGAGTCTGCTGGGGAAGAGAAATAATACTGTCAGTCAGTATGACATGCAGATGAGTTGCCGTCGATCTTAGAATCACCGCACACTTCACTCATTTGGGCAGTCACGGGGCCAAAACCAGAGTGTGGAGAGCCACAGTGTGGGCGGTGGAGGCAGCAGCAATGGGAGGCCATAAAGCACCCTATGACAAAAATGGAACCCACCAGCAGTGTGAGGAGAGACCTGAAAGTGGCACATGGCAGAGTGTGGCGATGGAGACAGCAGCAATGGAGGCTGTACAGGGACCCATGAACAGACTCTGGACCTGGCAGCAGCATGAGAGGCCGGTACAGGGGCCCATGACAAGATTTACGGGCCTGGCAGCAGCATGAGGAGTTGGTTACGGGGGCCCATGGCAGATTACGGGCCTGGCAGCAGCAATAGGGAGGCCGTACAGGGACCCATGGGAGCAACTGAAGGACCTGGCAGCAGCAGTGAGGAGGGCGGTAACTGGGGCCCATGGCAGATTACGGGCCTGGCAGCAGCAATGGGAGGGCCCGTAATCTGCCAGCCCAACCCTATGACAAAAAAATGGAACACACCAGCAGTGTGAGGAGACCTGAAAGTGGCACATGGCAGAGTGTGGCATGGAGACAGCAGCAATGGGAGGCCGTACAGGGACCCATGAGAGACTCTGGACCTGGCAGCAGCATGAGGAGGCGGTACAGGGGCCCATGACAGATTAACGCCTGGCAGCAGCAAGAGGAGTCGTACGGTACGGGGGCCCATGGCAGATTAGCCTGGCAGCAGCAATGGGAGGCCATACAGGGACCCATCAATTAGAGACTAGTGGACCTGGCAGCAGCATGGGAGGCGGTACTGGGGCCCATGGCAAGATTTAGGGGCCTGGCAGCAGCAATGGGAGGCCCGTAATCTGCCAGCACCCTAGACAAAAAATGGAAACACACCAGCAGTGTGAGGAGACCTGAAAGTGGCACATGGCAGAGTGTGGCGATGGAGACAGCAGCAATGGAGAGGCCGTACAGGGACCCATGAGAGACTCTGGACCTGGCAGCAGCATGAGGAGGCGGTACTGGGGCCCATGGCAGATTTCGGGCCTGGCAGGCAATGGGATGGCCTGGCAGCAGCAGCATGGGAGGCCAAGTAATCTGCAGCAGCCACCTAATGACAAAAAATGGCAAACACACCAGCAGTGTTGAGGAGACCTGAAAGTGGCACATGGCAGAGTGTGACAATGGCGACTGGAGACAGCAGCTGGGCCCATGGCAGATTAGGCCCCAACAGGGACCCATGATGGACCACTGTGTGGACCTGGCAGCAGGCTAGGATGAGGGAGGCTACTCTGGTGGCAGCACAGGGGCCCATGGCAGATTAGGGGCCTGGCAGCAGCATGGGAGGGCCCGTAATCTGCCAGCACCCTATGACACCCAAAAAAAATGGAACACACCAGCAGTGTGAGGAGACCTGAAAGTGGCACATGGCAGAGTGTGGCGATGGAGACAGCAGCAATGGAGGCCGTACAGGGACCCATGAGGACTCTGGACCTGGCAGCAGAGGCATGAGGAGGGCGGTACAATGGGGGCCCATGCCCCTGCAGATTACGGGCCTGGCAGCAGCAGCAATGGAGGGCCCATGTAATCTGCCAGCACCCTATGACAAAAAAATGGAACACACCAGCAGTGTGAGGAGACCTGAAAGTGGAACACATTGGCAGAGTGTGGCGACAACTCATGGTACAGCAGCAATGGGAGGCCGGTACAGGGACCCAGAGATCTACGGGGCCTGTAATCTGGACCTGGCATGGAGCAGCATGAGGAGAGCGGTACACAGGGGCCCACTGTCTGGCAGCAGCATGAGGGGCCTGGCAGCAGCAGCAATGGGATAGGCCCGTAATCTGCCAGCACCCTATGACAAAAAATGGAACACACCAGCAGTGTGAGGAGACCTGAAAGTGGCACATGGCAGAGTGTGGCGATGGAGACAGCAGCAATGGGAGGGCCGTACAGGGACCCATGAGACACTCTGGACCTGGCAGCAGCATGAGGAGGCGGTACAGGGCCCATGGCAGATTACGACGGGCCTGGCAGCAGCAATGGGAGGCCCGTAATCTGCCAGCACCCTATGACAAAAAATGGAACACACCAGCAGTGTGAGGAGACCTGAAAGTGGCACATGGCAGAGTGTGCGATGGAGACAGCAGCAATGGGAGGATGCGAGGCCGTACAGGGACCCAGACACTGTGGACCTGGCAAAATAGGAGGCGGTACAGGGGCCCATGGGCAGAGGGGCCTGGCAGAGCTTGGACCTGGACAGCAGCAGCTGTGAGGATGGTACAGGCTTAGACCCTTGGACCTGGCAGGGTACAAGGGCCTGAGGCAGCAGCAATGGAGGCCCGTAATCTGCCTGGCACCCATGACAAAAAATGGAACACACCAGCAGTGTGAGGAGCCTGAAAGTGGCACATGGGCAGAGTGTGGCGATGGAGACAGCAGCAATGGGAGGCCGTACACAGGGACCCATGAGAGACTGAAAGTGGACCTGGCAGCAGCAGCAGAGGAGGCGGTACAGGGGGCCCATGGCAGATTAGGGGCCTGGCAGCAGCTATGGAGGCCCGTAATCTGCCAGCAACCCTATGACAAAAAATGGAACACACCACAGTGTGAGGAGAAAAAGTGGCACATGTTTGGGGCATGATTCATGGCGGATTTAGTCAGTTGTGTCAGGAACTGGTGGTTTGAAATCCAGACTAATCCACGCCTGATTCATTTTCACAAACGTTAGTCTCTCCACACTTTGGGTGGACAGCCGTGTCCTCCGCGGAGTTACAATACCTCCTGCCGCACTAAACACGCGCTCCGATGCCACGCTACTGGCCGGCATGACAGCCTTTCAAGGGCAAATTCAGCTAGTTTGGGGCCAAAGGTCAAGTTTCGTTGCCCAGTAGTCAAGGGGATTGTCTACCTCGGTTGGCAGGGTGCTGTCCAAGTAGGCCCAGCCTGTTGTTTGAGGTCCTGCTCCAGGTCCCACCTGATGCTGCTGCTGCTGCGGCTGGTTAGTAGTTTCCTCACTGCGCTGGTGAAGAAAGCTACTCATCATCGACTGCAGACTGAGGCAGCCGCTGCTGGTGGAGCTGCCACTGCTCCTACCACCCCACCCCTCCCCTGCTGCCATGGCAGCGGAACGCGAGCGCACAGGGCCCACAGTGTCTGAGGATGGACGTTGGCGCAGAAAGGCAGAGACCAACTGACTACATAGGTGGTTTTTTATAGTACGTTATTTTGGCCTCCCTCTCAGCAGGTGTGAAAAAGGCCACCATTTTTGAACGGTAGCGAGGGTCCAACAAGGTGGACAGCCAAAAGTCATCCCTCTGTCTGATGGTTATTATTCGGCTGTCGCTATACGCAAGCAACCGAGCATGCTATGGGCCATTTGTGCCAAGGAATGCGAGGGACTCCCTGCCTCCATCTCCACAGCATACTGCCACGGTGCGTCTGGGTCCTCTGTCTCCTCCTCCTCCTCCTCTACCAGATGCTCCTGCTCCTCCACTCCTGTCCGCTGAGTGGAAAAACCACCCATTTCACTCAATAATTCCTGAGCACCAATGTCCTCCTCTACCTCCTCCTCTTCTTCCTGTCCTGCCCCCACAGGGGTCATGTGGCGTTGAGATCTGTGCGCCACGTCTACCGCACCCTGACCAGCCATTGTTAACAGCATTTGTTCCAGGACGTGCAACAGAGGAATGACGTCGTTCATCCCATAGTCCTGCCGACTCACGAATAGCGTGGCCTCCTCAAAGGGCCTGAGCAAGCGGCAGGTGTCACGCATGAGCTGCCAATGGCTGACATCGAAGTTACACAGGGGAGTACCTTTATCCGCTTGTAACATCAGGAAATCAGTGATGGCCTTTCGCTGTTCGTAAAGGCGGTCTAACATGTGTAGGGTTGAATTCCACCTTGTTGCAACGTCGCAGATCAGGCGATGCTGTGGAATTCCGTTCTGCCGCTGCAGCTCAAGGAGGGTGTGCTTTGCGGTGTAGGAATGGCTGAAATGCATGCAAAGTTTACGTGACATTTTAAGGATGTCTTGCAGTGGGATGGTGGATTTTTAGGAACCGCTTGACAACCAGATTGAACACGTGAGCCATGCATGGCGCATGGCACAACCTTCCTTGACGCAGAGCAGACACCATGTTCTTTCCGTTGTCGGTCAACATGGTTCCGATTTTCAGTTTGCGCGGAGACAGCCATCTGTCGATTTCTCTGTTCATTACACTCAGAAGTTCCTCCCCTGTGTGACTACGTTCGCCAAGGCATACCAGGTGCAGCACAGCGTGACACCGTGTTGCGCCCTGCACATGTGATATGCCGGTCGGGTAATGGGACTTGGCACGGGGGTGGCGGCTGAGGACACGGCGGAAGAAGAGTGGTAGAGGCGGACATCTTTGCTGGACCAAGGACGTGCAAACGTGGAGGCAAAAGCGGCGTGACCTGTCCAAGTTGCTGGTGCGGGCTGTGCCGGCACCACGTTTCACCCAGTGTGGGCCGTAAATGACATGTACTGTCCCTGACCGTAGTTACAGCTCCACACGTCGGCGCTGCCGTGCACTTTGGCAGAGACCGACATGCTCAAAGACTGGCCCACCATCTCTTCTACATGTGAATGCAGGGCTGGCACTGCCTTTTTGGCGAAGAAATGCCGGCTTGGCACTCTCCACCGCGGCGCGGCACAAGCCATCATTTCTCGGAAAGGTGCTGAGTCCACCACTTGGAAAGGGAGGGACTGCAGCACCAGCAACTTGGACAGGAGGACGTTCAGCTTCTGCACCGTCGGGTGCGTGCTCGCAAACTGTTGTCTCTTGGAAACGGATTCCAAGAAAGACTGCTGACGGAATCCGTGAAGAGGAGTAGCAGGAGAAGGAGCATCTGAACGAGCGGAAGATGCCAACGAGCGACAACTCCCCTCAGCAGAGGTGTTGGAGCCTTGACTGGCTGATAGAGGGCGATTGACGTCGGGTGACGGAGCAAGTAACGGAGCGGGTGATGGAGCGGGGGCTGGGGCAGGCAGAAACCGCCGTATCTTTATCACGGTTTTTCCCAGGCCACCAAATGGCGACGCTGCATATGCTGACGCAACGCTGTAGTCCCAACATGGGCCCCCTGGCCACACGCTTGACTTTCTGGCCACATAGTCGACATACGGCTACGTTTACTTCCTCGGGCGGCTTGACGAAAAATTGCCACAGCCGAGTAGGAAACTTTGCCCCCGCTACTCCTCACTGGCTGACTGCTACTTCCTCCGTGCACACCGGCACCACTACTGGCCGTGGTGGTAGGCTGCAGTGGAGCTGGTGCTCTACTCCGTGGCCGTTTGCCTCCACTGACACTGCTGCGACCCTGCTGCCTCCTGGGCAACCCACCGACTGTTTTGCTCGCTGCCAAGCTGGCACCCTCTTCTCCTGATGATGCGGAAGCAATAGCCTGATGACGACGAGGCTGCCAAGTGCGATCAGCCTCATCATCATCAATTAGGGTCTCCGCCTCACTACTAGCCCCCTCGGCTGCGTGTGGGTCAGGAGACAGACCTGTCTCTAGACCGGCTACCGAGCCACTCTCCTCGCCACTACTTCTTCGCCTGGCTGCTGAAGAGGCGGATGTCTCCCCCCCGTTCCTGACCGCCCTCTGTTAGCTCTTCCTCACTGTACAGTGGGGCTGAGCC